TTTCTTCCTCTTGCCTATTTGTTCAATCTTTTTGACTTGATGTGCCACATAAAATTACTTTGTACCATTTTTGTTTATGGTTCTTAATACTCTTAGTAAAGTTAGTAAGTTTTATTTATAAATATTATCCATCTTCATTGAATAAACTTGTTGAAGTTGTATGTCTATAGAATTGATTGCTAAGGATAGAAATATATTTTTAGTATAGTTGCTAAATGGTCATTTAGGTTTTCACACCTTGAGAATTGTAGGATATTCTTTTTGTGTTTTTATATAGAAGCTATCCTTGTACTCGCATCAACCTTTAATAAAGATCATTTTTTGTCTTTCAAAAGTTGTAGCCTTGATGTATATTCTTAGAATTAGAGTCAATATCAAAGTTGGGATCAATAATTTAAACTCTAAATCTGTCTTTAACATCTTTGTTCAATCTCTCCAATATGTTCTTTTATGTCTTTGTCAAAGTTGAAATAGTCAATTTATGTTATTTACTTGATGAATCTTATCTTGTCATCCTTAATCTTTTCTTCTAAGCTTCTTTCTTCTTTTTATTGAGAATCCCAAAGATCTTCATAAATCCTTCTTATAACACTTATAACTTATTAATAGATCAAATTTTGTAATGAAATAACATAATAGAATTTTGTAATGAAATAACATAATAGAATTTTGTAATGAAATAACTTAATAGAATTTTGTAATGAAATAACATAATAGAATTTTGTAATGAAATAACATAATAGAAACATCTTCATTTAAATAGTAATCTAATTTTATATTAATTTAATACATAATAGTGTAAGGAATTATAATGTGACAACAATTGTAACATGTTTCTTAGCAACCTAACCTCTACTAGATTTAATTTTTGATTAAACGCAACCTTTCACTATATCCCAATTTTCATATAGTTTGTATACAAAATTCAAAATATCAACCTTATTTATAAAATTATAATATACTATTTTATTCATTATGTATTAAATTATATTTTTTCTTAAATTCAATTCATTCAATTCTAAAACTTTAATTGTATATTACAGTATTTTATACCTTAAGTCTAATTCTAAAGGTAAACATTCAAAATTCTATTTGGAGAAAAATCTTATAAAATCCAAAATTATTTAAGAAAATAATAGCAAATCCTAACAATTTTTAAGATAGCAGCTTTAAATTATAAAAAACTCTAATAAATCCTAAGCATATTTTAAGGTAAAAAACTTAAGTCTTAATCTCAAGTCTCTTTTTTTAAAAAAAAAAAAAAAAAAAAAAAACTTTACTTCAAATAATATCTCAATAATTTCTAAAGATATAACTAAACACTAAAAACTTCCTAAATTTTTTTTAAAAAATCTTAAAATCCTGATCTTAAATATTTTTTTTAAATATAAAAAATTTAATTTTCTATATTCATCCTAATGAATAAAAAATTAAATTAAATTAAATAAATAAATAAAAAGAATGGTGGAGGAAAAATAAATCTAAAGTTGATTCGTTCTTGTAAAGAGGAGCATGTAGAGTATTAATGGATTTATTATGTAGAAGTCATGTTGACTTACAATTACAGTGTCTAACTGGTTTTCTATAGCCAAAGATATCCTTACATGTTGAGTCATCATAAACAAATTGGAGAATGTACTTTGTGAATCTTCTCAATGTATCTTAATTATTAAATTTATTAAAATACTTTATAGTATTTTTTAGATACTAAAATATTAAAATTAAATAATTTATTGATTATTTAAATATTAATTAGGATGAAAATGGTTTTATTAATCAAAAAATTCTTATCACATAAAACTCATAATAATAAAATCTTTTGAGGTCTTATTAAGTCTCAATTATTCTAGTTGGTTTAGTTTTTTTTTTAAAAATTATAATAATTTATATTCAATTTATAAGCTTAATTTATAAATTAATATTTTGATTACATATATCATTTATTAAAAACTTAAAATATTAGTTAATAGATAGAAGAAGCATGAAAAAGAACATCATAGCTTTTTAGTGATTTATGTAGAAAATAGGATTTTATGTTGATTTAATTATTTTTATTGCTATAAATATTTAATAAGACAAAATAAAGTAGCTTTGATTTGGTATTAGGAATTTTAAAATAATAGATTTTTTTATATAAAATTTATTTAGAATACATTTAGAATTTTTTAGAAATTTTTAAAACATACTTTCAAAATTTTGGTAAAAATAAATTTATGGCTTTGAAAGGCTATTATAAAAAAATAGAGCAATATTTATATTTAGATTTTGAAAGAATTTTTTTAATATATAAAATATCAATATCAAATTTCTTCTATTTCTATCTTCTAATTGATAGATAAACAAAACATGTGAATCAACTATTAGAGTAATATTTGCAATATTCTATCAACTAACACCAAGACCAATAAACAACCTTCTTACCATTTGCCAAAATTTCAAATAACATTCTACATTCATCTGTTCAATAAACTATATTATTTACTAATTATAGTTATCATCCATAATTTGATACTTTTGATACTTTTAAATTAAAAATTTACCAACCAAAGATTTTGTAAGTAGAATAATATTATTTCATACAAAAATAAAAGTTATAATTAAAAAAAAATAAAAATAACAAAAAAATAACATTAATTTTTTAAAATATATATATATATATATATATATATTTAAAACTAGTGATAAGATATAATTACTTTGTTGTAATATCAAGACCAAGTAATTTATAAGAAGTTGAATCATGAAAAATTTGATCCATTTATTATCCAAAGACAAATTGAGCTAATTGCATATTAATTGCAATTAACATAGTTAACAAAGATCTATTATGTATTTGACACATTTCTTATTGAGACTTATATTGCAATTATTCTACAAAGAAAGAATCTATTACCACCACCTTGTACTAAACTAGATAATAACAAAGAATTTAAAGTGGAAGTAGTCTTAGATTCAAGGTGGTGCCAAAACAAATTGTAATATTTTATACATTGGAATAGATATGATATTGATAAATATACTTGAAAGCTATCCAAAAATCTTTTAAACTTTTCAAAGTTTCTTGCTAGTTTTCATTGATGACATCTATTAAATCTAAAGACTAACTATTGACAATATAATAGTATAATTCAATAGAAAACATACTCAAGGACCAACTTGTGAAACTCCTTAGAAGTATAAAAAATTAATAGTAGACAGATTTATGTCAAGACTTATCAATTGCAAAATCCTAAGATGAAATAATTAGTTTACTATAATATAGACAATGTTATGATCGTAAAATAGATCTTCAAGAGAAATATATATTTTTTCTAAATAGATGGAAAAATAAAACATACTTAATACTATGATCTAAGAAGAGACTCTTAATGTTTAATGATACTATTATGGTATATACTATACATGGTGGAATGCCAAATGTGTTTATTGAAATTAGCAATAAAGACTTTAATAATAGTCAAATAACAAGATGGTCTTCTTATCCTAAAATGGGACATTTCTCATGATTAAAATAACTTATCAATAACATATATGCAAAACATAGAACAAAATTTGTTGCTAATATCATTTGACAAATCTTACACTTCATTAATTTATGAAGCAATTTGACTACTCTTTCTTGAACTTGTTGCCTAGAAGAAGAAGTAATGTAATAGATGCTCATACTACTTTAGGAAATAGAAGTAAAGAGAAGTAAGTGCAAGTATAATAAAAACATATTAAGAATTTAATATCTTCATTAATAAACTTAAAAAGAAATTCCAAGATGCAAGTTTTTTCTTAAATCTTTTATAGATATATTGCATACATATTGAAATTTTATTATTAAATTTCTTACTACTACAAAGTTGCATTCGAAACAACTTACAACTTGATTCTTGGGCCATAAGCCCTACAAATCCTAAGAAACTTCTACAAGACATTTATTGTAACTACAAGCCATTTGCAATCTTATCAACACCCCCCTTATATTCCAATCTTGGTTCAAGACTCTTTAGTCTCTTAATATTTGACAAATATTGTTTTGATTTATTACTATCTTATAACTTTTTCTTCTCTTTTTTTACTTTCTCCCTTCTTTAGTCACACATGAATAAATTGTTTTTTGAGTTTTTCCAAGATTCATGTTCTTCACATTTGTATAAGAACAATACTCTTCTCACTTACAAAAATCTCCTCTTGAAAGATAAGCTCTCACTTGCTCTTATGAATGTCAACACCCATGTTGCCAAGCTTTTTTCTTATTTCACTTTGTTCATGAATGTTTACTTTTCAATAGAATTCATTGCCCTTGCCTCAAGACCCTTCTTTTATTATAATTGCCAAATCAACTATTCACAATACCACAAGAAAGCAAAGAATAAGACTCATAAAGAAAAGCACACAAGACAAACAAGAAACATGTAAGATAACAAACCCAATGCAAGCAAAACTCTTACATGGACACATTAATATACCAAGATGAACTTCTTTTTCAAAAAACACTCTTTAGTTCTGCACCAATTCAAAGACATTTCAAAAACACAGCACAAGAAAAGCACCAAGCTAGCTACAAAACAATAGAAAGTCTACAGTTGACTTCTCATTTATCATCCTTTGATGCAGCACGTATTGGTTCTTCAGTTGCTGCTCCTGCATAAGACTTGAAGGATGACTTCTCTTAGGAAAAGACACAAGAGGCCTTCCAAAACAAGTTCTTTAACCTATTCATTTTTAATTTATCATTTAGTAAACTTTCAACTTTAAAACTAGAGCCACTTTACATAACAAGTATCTTTGGGATAAATAAAAATTGAGTAGCTTCCAACCTAATATTCAAATCGCAAATGTAAGGAGCAACAATCAATGAAGAAAACTGTTTCATATTGATAATGCTCAAAAAATAAAAAGCTACAGTTCCTCATTTTAAAGAAACCCACTAGTTCATGCGTATCATCATATTCTATATTTGACACAACAAAACTCTCATGACTATTATCATGCAAAAATTACAGAAATAATAAAAACAAAATAAAATACTTCAATTGTTCTCCTTTCATAGTTCTCACATTGACTTCCTTGGTCTTTAGAAAATAATGAACGTGTACATTTTGGAAACTCTGATAACTCCAAATTACGTATCGTTTCCCAACAACAAATGTACTGGAGTCCAGATGAAAGTGCGCGCTCTAAATTCAGTAAATTTGGGACACTTCTTAGCAATCTAAGATCTCATGCCTTTGAGCAAGTTACGCTCAAAGGAACATAATGAATACAATGGAAAATCCTCTCCTATACATTCGTACCGTGAAGGATACAAGAGGTTTAGGCATACACGAAACTCTCTCAAATCTAAAGCTCGCTAGTCAGTTGACTTGATGTTCGGGTCGTGCCGTATAATCTACGTTTAGTAAAGATCACGTAGCTGTTGATTTTCCCTACGAAGGGCTTTGACCTCCTCAACGAGCTCCGCCTGCTTTTCTAAAAATGAATCCATCATGCTACTCATTTCCATCTGCAGTAACGAAATGTTTAGCCTCCACAAATTAGAAGAAAAGTGATCGACAAGTAGCTTCGGACCAAACTTGAAAACAATACAACCCAAATTGAGAAGTCAATGGCAAACAGCATAAGACTATACAGATGGCACTGAACTAACTTAACTAAGCCAATGCGAGTGATTTTGTGACTAATGAAGCTAGGAGCCCCTCCTTTGAACAGAACTCGTGAGTCACCTGTTGGATATGGAACTGTCGAAGTAGCTCCAAATGAACATTCTGAACCTCTTCATGAATTGCTCGTTGGACGGCACCAAGGCTTTCTTCTAGACCTCTTTGCACCAGCTGCAGAGCGAAACCCGTAGTTCCTATCCCATGCTGTTGTTGGTGTTGCTCAAGTGGAGTTTGAGCTCTTTGCACGCTACCATGACCATGACCATGACCCTGCCAAAGGCAAACAAAGTTAAACCGAGCGGAAGTGTCAGGAACTTTCGTAGCAACATATGCCCCCCAACTCCGAACAAAACTAAAATCTTCCAGATTGCTCTGTGACAACTTGGGTTGTGATACAATTGGGATGGATTTTACGTACGTTTGATGTAGGTGGTGTGGGCCCAATAGAACCAGCTGCATCTGACCTTAATGCATAGCCATTCTCCAAGTCTTTTCCATCAGAACTTCCAGAGACCCCGCCACTGTCCTCTCTTCTTTCCAACCCTGGCTTCTTTTGCTTTGGCGACCCTGAATCAACAGCAGACCTTGGAAAGGACCCAGGAAGGGCTCGTGATAAGCTTGAGTTAAGATCTCGTGCCTCGAAAGACATTAACTTCCTGTTTGCAGCTAGAGTTCCAGCTTCAAAATCGCTCGCTGGCACCATGGCTGGCTGATGACCCACGCCATTCGTTAGAGGTGAAGACGAGTCTTGTTCAAGAGATCTAAGCAACGGAATATCACCCTTTGTAGAAGATGATTGTTTATTATCTGCAGAAGCTGCTAGTGAATCAAAACGGGATGATGGAAGTCCTGTAGTTGATGCAAACCTGCACCACCCGCAACCAACACATCAAATAATACTCAATACACAAATTACGAAAGAATGATAGGGGAAAACAAACTTAGAAAATTACAAATCACTACACACACACACACACGCGATATCCTTGCAATGGCGAGCTCACAAACGGAATAATCACCAAAAAGTTATACAACTCAATTGAGACATCCAGATATTTGACAAAACAGGCAAACCTAGACATTGTTGGTTGTCTCAAGCCGCCTCTTTCCAAAGGTTCACCACCCCATGCCTCAGGGGGTGTTAACGATGGAGATCGATCCAACCTACTGGATATTCCAGGAGGAGGAGTAACTGACATTCTTCCCTGTAAATCATCCTGCCAATCCGTTACAGACATCAAAACACAAAACAAATAACCTACCAGACGAGTATAAAAAGAGAAAGAACCTCGTCCGCATTTAATAAACAAGGAGAATATGGCATGAGCGCAAGTAAACATTTCAAAAACTACAACAAAAAGAAGATCTGCAACGAAAGAAAATCACCCAAAAGGCAAACGAGGGACCTACACACTGCATCAGAATAAGCATCAAATAAGATGAATAAAATTTTACTACATCCAGGAAGTGATTTGAGCTATTGCAAAAGTGTTGAAAGTCAGCTGTAATGGTAACGAGATGCACCTGGCGTGATCCTAGGGAGGACCTGCGTGAAACACTTGAATCACGAGATTCACGCGACTCCCGTACATCCTCCTTCACATCCTCAATGTTAGGAAACCGCCGGACTAATGGAGTTCCCCAGGTTGTTTTTCTTCTATTGTCCCCATCAAGAGCTGCCATATCCCTGTTAAACTCATCTCCAGCAACCCCACCTTCCCAATAACCTGTAACTGATGGCGTAATGGGCTGTACATCAACAAGAGGTGAAAAAACCTCCATGTCATCTTTACCAGAGATGAGTGCATTCATCCGAGGGGTTTGATGTCTAGACATTGGACCATTTCCCCATGCACGCATAGAAGAATAAGGTGTAACATCTCCTCCTGCTGACTTTGGCCTTGAGATACCCGAATGCCCACCGATAGCTGAAGCAGGTTCCTGGCTTGAAAACGAATTAATACGATTACTAGGTTTACTAGGTGGAGCACCGGATGTTATCCGCCCCCTGGTGCCAGCAGGAAGTGGATCTGGCATTATGACAGATTCTTCATTACTATCACCTAAAAGAGCTGTCTCTCCAGATCTTGTATCTTTGACAGTGGTTGGATTCGAACGTTGCCAACTCAAACTTGTTACTGCCTGCACAAATGAGAAATTAGGTCCGAAATTATTGAGTAAAATGAGGAGGAGATTACGTAGGAATTTGTATTTGATACATCCTGCTAAACAATGAAGAGAAATTGCAAAGATTAAAAACACATGTAATACATCTATTATTCTCAGGCCTGTAATATAGATAACATCCGTCAACGAGAGTCTCACAACTTGAGATTTCCTCCATCTACAGCCAAGACCCAAAAATGCATTTCTATTTACCTCGGAAGCACTGTAAGCTCGCAGGATTGTGAAGGGTTGGGGCCGACCACGCACATCATAGAACACAACCCGACCACTATTGGTACCAGCTGCCAATGTGTTGCCATCATCTCTAAAAGCCAAGGATGCAAAAGGAGCTTCATATGGTACACAGTACACAGGCTTTTTTACACCAGGATCATATGTATATAATTTCTTATCCAGTCCAGCACTTACAATCATCTGGCAACACAAATTACATGAAAATTACAAAGTATTGCACATAACCAATCCATAGTACCTACCACCAGATGCTTGAATTAATACTGGTGCAAAGAAAATAGCAATGTGTAAATAGATAATATCTAAATTCCAAATATTTTGCACGTCCACTTGTGGCAGATGCTGGATCCTAGGTAAACCCTAAGTCATGTATAAAAATAAATTAACTGTTGTTAAGTTGAATAGTTGTTGTTGAGACATATATGATTGAGTGAAGTTTAAGAATCAAGCGTCTAAACTTAGGTCTAGGTTCTTTCCAAGCGAGTGTTCAAAAATCTAGTCTTAGTTAAAAACAGGTGTACTTAGAGTACGTAAAAGAAACCTTGTCAGATGTAGGTGAGAAACAGAGTCCTGTGGTAGGTGCTGAGTGCTGCTTCAGCCAAGACAACTGCAGCAAACAATAACTATCATTAAAATTCGATATCAATCTCGCTCATGTTCAAAGAAAGATGTTAACTCCTACACAAGTCATAAGAGGTCAACGTCTTGAGAAGGATAAGTCCTTCCAAGTATCAAGAATGTTAAAAACTGCAAGGCAAGTACGAATATTATTTAGTTCCCTTAAAAATGATATCAGATTTCCGTCCAAGTAGTGGTAACAAAGCCGAAAATTCTGTGGAACTCAAAGCATTCAAATCCTTGGAGAAAAATTCTCAAGGACTCTGAAGAAAACGGCAGCTCCAAGACACACGGTCACGAGAAATATCCAAAACTCAACTTAAAATAAAGAGTATAGAGAAAATACAAAAATTGACCTGCCTTGGGACTACGTGAAGTGGTATCCCACAAATGGACAGTACCGTCATCACCAGCAGTCAGTAGCAAATGTCTACTCAATCGGGAGTACTCCATAACTCTGAGAACCTGCTTAAATGAAAACCAAGTGATGTCATAAAGATTGCTTCTCGAATCGTTTTGAATACGTGAACTATGACTAATCGCATTTGCTCACACCTGATTATTAGGATCTTTGAGCTCTGCTGCCCGGGTGCCTGATGCAAGGTTGTGTATAATCAAGTCACCCTTCATGCTGATGGAAGCCAAGTGCTCATCCTTACAGTTGTACATAACACCAGTGATAGTGTCGGTGTGACCCTTCAACCACTTGATGCATCTCCTCCTTTGTAGATCCCATACACGGACAACCTTACCAGTTCCTCCTGAACCAAGATACCGAGATCCTTTACTGCTGAAACAAATTCCTAGAATAGATTCCTGCAACAGATACAAATGCGATTACTCCCCCAAACCCATTTCTTCACCACAAACTTCGCCGAAAGTCTCTTTCTGCTGAGAAAAACTGTCATAGCATGCCATAGGTTCCAGGAAGCATCAATAACAATGTCCCTTCGATTCCTAGTATGCATGCACTAGTTCTGTAACACTAGTTCTGTAACACTTGAGCACTTACATCGATATTGTCATCCGCTTCTCCACCAGGCTGAGGCACAACACCTATGCTGTGACCATTCTTCATCCACAGCGAAATCTTGCAGTCTTCTCCAGCACTCGCAACCACCAAGTCTGAAGAAAGAATGATTCAGAAATGTCCAAAAGTTGCAATAGGAAACAAATTCCAATCATATCAATAGTTAAGACGACTATTTCCGCTAGTTGCTTTTATCACTTTTCTAAACTATTCTTAATATGCAGAGGACCGGCTGAAACTGTGCAAATCTTATAAACAGCCGACAAAGGTCTTACTTCAATCGTCTTCTCTGAAAGAAGAGTACAAAAAAACATGTCAAGATTCACTGGACGACGTCTTAGCAGAATTCTTATCGATGGGTCTCCAAATATCTCCTATAGACAATGAATTTCCGAACTCAGGAGATCGTGACACATATAATACCAACACTTTCTTCTGTCGAATGAAAAAGGACATTCCTTTCAAATTCGATCACATTCGATTCTTCCGAAGAACAGTCGAGGTGACCCACTTTAGCGACAAGCACATTATGATGAGGTTTGCATATGCAGTGAATGCAACCTTCAACAATATGTAAACAACGACTTCAACATTTAAACCATCAGTGACTGAAATGATTAAGTTCCAACAAGTTTCATGCTAACTATATAATTATCTAACATAAAAACTAGTATACGAAGAGATATCTAAGCTCAGCATATTTTGCAATAGGTACTACTTCACGAAAGATGACGGCCTCATGTTTGGTTCTGCAGACAAGAAAACTCTGGTGGCAAATAAATGAAAAGCCTATTTCCCATTCACACGCCAAGGAATAAGTAGAATTCTCTCGGATGCTGCGCAAGAGTACAATTTTCAGACACCATTCTGAGATGACAGTCACTCAATATCCTACTACACCAAATTCTGCCCACGATTGATTTTAACTCAAGTGCACGATGCAACTCATGAGTGCGAGCCTACTCTGTTCAAAACTACCGAATCTGCAAAGTCCAGCGTGTCCTCATCTCTATACTGTGTGTATTCCCGCAGATTAAACAATACTAGCAAGCTGAATGCAGAACTAGGCTGATTCAAAACCTCGCCATATTTTTTACCATACGTAGACATCTCGGCCAGAAGACAACGCGAGCAGCCTAATCTTGAGTAACTTGAGAAACTAAGGGACAAAAGTGGTGAATCCGCTACTTTACTAACGGAATTCTATCAGAGAGATATTAATTTACAATTGCAGAACTCTATCCAGCGCTCTTCTTTGGTATTTGCTGGCTGTCTAACCACGCGCATTCAAGATTGTGGCTACAGTCAGACAAACCTACAGTGAACACATTGCTTGCCTGTAGGCCGATCCATACCGCCTTGTCCGTTCACAACTGCACTTCCGATAACAGTAGAGCGGAGAAGGGCACTATTGCGGGAAACAAAAAAAAAAAAAAAAAAAAAAAAAAATGCCTACTGCACTGCACTTCAAACAACGTACTTACACAAGCACAAGGTGCCTCGCCGCAGCAGCAAAGCCCTTACGTCTACGGCAGATTCTCCGTTTCAACCGTTAAACCCCTCAATACCAGACTCACGAAACCACCGAGCACTAGATCTGCATCCAAAACTGGGCTTCTTGATCTATGCATGAACTACTTTGTTTTAAGAAAAATAAAGACCACGGTGAGGGCAGGACGAAACTTACTGGTGTGGTTCCATCGCGCGCAATTGACGTGATAACCCGGAGAAGGAGTGTATTGGAACGTGCAGGGATCCCCTGTCTCAATAGACACGTCGAACAGCTTCACTGTTTCGCCTCCGCAAGCTGCCAGCAGCGACGTCCCTTGTGCCATTGTTCAATCCAAGTGTGAATCTAACCTCCACCGCCTGCTTGATTCCTGATCTCCTCTCCGACTTCCAACACCATCGTATTCCCAACGATCAAACCACCTTCCACCAACACCCCAATCCCGCTCAACAAAACCGCACGCAACAAATACTCAACTCCACCAGTTTCACCTATCCACCTACACATCACATTTCCACCATCGCAAACGTCAAGATCTCACGGTCCTCCGCGCCACGTTCGTGCGCTCTTCTCCTTCTTCTCCTCCTTCTTCTGCTTCTTCTTCTTCGTCTTCTTTTTCCCTCACACCTACAACCCTAACTTTCACGTCTCTGCTCCATTTTGAACAAGGTCTGTCCCGATGCATCGAAGTCCGCGAGGAGAGAGCAATGTGACCTGGGATCGGAACCCGGCGAGGAAGGGGAGACGGACTCCTCCTGTGTGGACGATCTCCTTCATCGCGAACTTCTTGTCAGCTGAAGCCTGGTCTCCATCTTCGTCTCTGCGCCAAGCTTTGAAAAGAAGAAGAAGAAAAATTGACCGCTCCTTCGAAAATGCCTTTTTATTTAACTCGCGCTCTACGGCGCCCTATCGCGGGGGTCTTCTACTTCTTCGTCTTTCCGCTTCCCTCCTCTTTTCTCCCGATCCCCCCTGCCTTTTGCTTTTTTCTGGCGCCTTTTTGCTTTTTCTCTTATTTCAATTCAAAAATTCCATGACTCGCGAGTCACTCCCACCAGGTTCCCGAGCCATGCAGAGTTCCCAATTCACGTTCGCTTGCTGGACTCAGGGTGAGCGGAGCTGGGAACGTTGCGTTCCCATGAAGATGACGTCATCAGACGAAGTTTGAAATGTTTTTGGATGATTTATTGTGGTTTCATTCATCCGAAATATTCGTGACCTGTTATCGGCTCATTTCTTTGTCATTATTTTCATGCGTGTCACAAAATTATAAAATATCAAGTTTAAAAGAGTAATATTCCCCTTTACATATTTAAAAATAAACTCTATTAATTTCTAAATTTATTTATTTCCAAAACTTCCGAAACTATTTTAATATATATATTAATTACTCTAGGGGAAATATCACAGATGCCTCTAAGATGTCCCAAAATATCAAGAACACCCCTGAATTCTTGATAATAGCAAAGCTACCCCTACATTTTGTGATAGTTGCAAAAATGTCCTTTTCACTGATAACCTATCTACTTCCAGTTTTTTTTAGTTTGAACTGGGGCGAGGAGCGGCACTTTTCTGCACTGCCTGCACTCCGCACCAATTAAAGGCCTCTCTTTACTGACATTTTCTCTTCTTCACTGCTGAGGCTCGGTGAGCACTAACGATCACTGGGACGGAACTCAACAAGGGATCAACTCCTTCCGCGACTCTCTCTCCCTGTCCCCTGTTCTCATTTGCATTCAATGAATTAGGAGCATTGATATTCTTTGTAGGCGGACTTCTATCCACAGACTCATGTCACAGATGGTAGTCCGCCAACAAAGGCTGGGAATATCCCGCTACTTTGAACGAGAAGTCAGACAGTGCCTACAATATGTATACTTGTGTGCCTTCTACCCATGAGAGACTTGAATTGGAGTGTGCACGGCTGACGTTTCACTTGAAACGTTTCAGTTGACGTTTCATCTTGTGATATTCGGACTCAACAATTGAAACTTTGACTTGAATTTATTCTTTGTCACGACTCTTTCTGCATGCAGATACTGGAAGGATTGTGGTATTGGCTGGGCCAGCAATTCAACTGTGCAGGACGTGGATGACACGGCGATGGCCTTCCGCCTTCTCCCCGCACACGGATTCGACGTCAAGGAAGACTGCTTCAGACAGTTTTTCAAAGATGGTGAATTCTTCCGCTTCGCCGGCTAGTCTAGCCAAGCCGTCACGCGAATGTTCAACCTCAGCCGAGCATCGCAAACGCTCTTCCCAGGGGAAACACTCCTTAAAAAGGCCAGAAGCTTTTCCAGTGGCTTTTTGAAAACTAAGCATGAAAACAATGAATGCTTCGTTAATTGGATACTCATAAAGGATCTAACGGGCGAGGTGGAGTACAATCTCACATTCCCCTGGTATGCTAGCCTTCATCGTCTTGAGCATCGCACCTACTTGGACCAATATGGTACTGATGATATCTGGATCGACAAGTCGCTCTGTAGAATCCGGCCGTCACCAACAAAGTGTTTCTCAAATTGGCCAAAGCAGAACTTCAACAAGATCTTCACAAGAAGGAGCTCGAGCATGTCATCAAATGGAATGATGGCTGCCAATTTAAAGACCTCGACTTTGCTAGACAGAAATCCGTGGAGTGCTACTTCGCAGGCGCTGCAATAATGTTTGAGCCCGAAATGGTGCAGACGAGGCTCGTTTGGGCACGCTGTTGCGTGCTCACCACCGTTCTAGACGACTACTTCGACGTTGGTACATCCGTGGAAGAGCTTCGGGTTTTTGTGCAGGCCGTGAGGACGTGGAATCCCAAGCTCATCAACGGGTTTGTCCTCCCTTGACTTGGAGCACTTTGCAGCTAAGGTTTAATCTGGATGGGCTGTGAGTTTGCAAGAAGAGAAAAAGGGGAGAGGATAAGTATACAAGAAGAGAAAAAGGGGAGAGGATAAACAGTACTTCTCCACTAGACTCTAAATACTGTAGCTATAGTATTTATTGTATTCTATAGTAAATATTGTGGAGAGGGCCGGCTATATTTAATGATCTCAACACTCCTCCTCGCTCATCATAATATTTACATAATATAAAATTTGTATAGAATTATGATCTATACTTTTTTGTGATCTTGTAAGATCAACAATTGTTGCCTCATTAAAACCTTATCTAAGAAAACCTTACTTTATTTAAGGACAAAACCATAGATGAAGGAAAAAGAGTACAACATCATTTTCTTTAATTATTTAAAAAGCTCATTAATTTTCTTATTCAAGAAGAGCAAGTCGTCGCATACCAATGCCATAAGTAAGTCGACAATGGTTGCTTAATGGGAGAGCTTTGGTGAAGAGATTAGCAAGTTTATTTGTAGATTCAATTTTCTTAATTATAGGTGCTTGATCAGTAATCAAGTCATGGATATAACTAAAATACTTTGGATCAATATGCTTTGTCTTATTGCCTTTAATGAAACCAACTTGCATTTGTGCAATACAAGCACTATTATCTTCATACAAGATAGTTGGAGAATCATCATATGAAAATCCACAGGTTGTTTGAATGAATTTATCAATTGATCGCAATCAAATACATTCTCGAGATGCTTCATGTAAGGCAATAATTTCTGCATGATTAGATGAAGTTGCGGTTATTATTTGTTTCACTAATTTCCATGATATTGCAGCTCCATGTCTTAAGAATACATATCATATTTGAGATTTAGTTGTTACAATATCAGATTTATATCCTGCATCACAATATCCAACCAATTTTGGATCTGCGGATTGTGTATAGTATAATCTCAAGTCTTCAGTACCTTTTTAATAATGTAATAACTGTTTGATGCCATTCCAATGTCGTAGTGTTGGACGTGCACTATGTCTTGCAAGAACACTAACTGCAAATGCAATATCTCGTCTTGTAGATGTAGTTAAATACAAAAGTGCTTCAACCACTAAAAGGTATGGATATTGGTCTCCCAATATTTCCACCTCCTCCTCGCATGGACGGTATAGATCATGACCATCACGACCACGTCCAACCATTGGTGTGGACAATAGATAAGCATCAATCATATTAAATCTTCGCAAGATTCGTCTAATATACGTTAGTTGGTAGAGAAAAATGCTACCATCTGTTAGATGCATAATCTGAAGACCAATGCAGAAAGTTATTTTTCCTAGCATTTTCATCTCAAATTCACGTATAAGTAGGTTTGTAGCTGTAATACATACAAATGTAGTGCCCACTAGGTTAAGATCACCAACATATATAGCGATGATCACAAATCCAATTTTATCTCATTTGATAAACAAACAAGGGATTAGTTGATCACTTATAAAATTATTTGTAATTAAATAATCTCGAAGATATTGATACCACATGCATCCAGATTGTTTTAAACCATACAAGGCCTTACATAATTTAATACCATGATATTTTCCTAGAGCGGATCAATTTTAAGGTCCTGTTTCTAAGCCAAGTGGAACTTTCATATAAATATTTGCATCAAGAGAACCATATAGATATGCAATTACTACATCCATCAGATACATCTCAAGAGTAGCATGAACTATCATTCCAATAATATATCAAAATATAATTGAATCCATGACTAGAGAATATGTGGATTCATAATCAATGCCAAATCGTTGAATAAATCCTTGAGCATCAAGACAAGCTTTATAGCGGATTATTTGGCCTTGAGCATCTTGCTTGCATATTAATACCATTTTATATCCCACAAGGTAAGATGTAAGAGTATCTACAATTGGACCAAAGACTTTCCTCTTACGCAAAGAGGCATATTCCTCCTCAATAGCAGTTTTTCATTTTGACCAATCTCAGCATCACATCGCTTCTTCGATGGTTTGAGGTTCAAGATGGTCTTCCTTGCAAGAAAGGGCTTCTATAATCATATATGCAAATGATTCATCTACCATAATAGATGGTCTGTCCCAAATATCATTTGTAGCACAATACATAATAGATAATTCTTTACTCAACTTGTTCTTATTCCTTCCAATTCCAAGATTGTTTTTCATAGGAATTGAAGGTACATTATGCATGGATATATCATCATGAATTGGTAGTCCTGCAAGATGTGTGGCAATTTCTTGAAAAATAATACCACGATTAGTCAATTTTATAGCTTTCTTCTTACGTGGTTGCTTATCTGGTCCACGAGTTTTTTTAATTGTTGTTGTTATAACTTGAGGTATTATAGTCAATGGCACTGCAATCTGAGCAGGTGCATTCTGAGCCTCATTAATAGGAACTCTTGTAATTCTAGGTGCATCATTGAAGCCATCAGGTGTTTCATCTGCGATCCGTTTTAGATGCAAAATCTTAGCAACTTCAGTTTTTGCCAAAGATGTCATAGGATCGGGATTCGTTGTAAATGTTTTTGGTGCTTCAAATATGAGTACTTTATTTCTTTGTTGATTGGATACTCCTCCTTGAAGAGATGGAAATAAATTTTCTTCAAAATGGCAATTTTATAAACGTGCACTTAATAATGTGTCAGTTGATGGATCAATAATACAAATAATGCTTGGTGAATCAAAACCAACATATATGCCTTCTTGTCGATGAGCTCCAATGGTATACCGTTGAGGTTTTGGTACTGGAATCCAAGCACAGCAACCAAATACTCGTAAGTGAGATACATTTGGAACATGAACCGAAACGAACTCATATGGTGAAACAATTTCAAGAGAAGAAAGGTGGAGGCATATTAATGCTGCAACATATAAAACTGCATGACCTCACATAGATGCAGGTAGATTTGCAAGAAGGATGAGTGGTCGGATAATGAGTTGTATACGCTTTATAAATGACTCTACAAGTCCATTTTGAGCATATCCATATGGAACACAATATGTCAACTCGAT